TAGAAGTTGTAACATAGTGTTATTGTATTTCTATACGGTATTTCCTGTCCTACAAATTATGTCCTAAGATAGAAATGAAATTTCCAAACATTACACTCCTATACTTCTTTGTTCTAAAAAAAATTAAGGGTATTATATAATTCGTTAACTAATTCCTTTTTATATTTGTAAGAAAACTATTTTACTGCATCTACCGATCGGCGGCCTGTTTGAACATCTGGGCTACCTGTTCCTGTCATCTAGATATTTCAACAAGTTATCTAATTTTGTTTGTTTTAATACATCATTATGGCTATTATTTGCATAATCTAATCACGTGCTTTTCTGAAAAGTGTACAACTTTTCGTTGTACAAGTTACAAAAGACCCAACCAAAGATATCGTGGTTGCTGACAATATTCAGCATCAGTGCTTGAGGTCACTAACTTCTAGTCTGAGCCATGTTGGCAAACGTAAACTACTTGGTTGGAGTCCGCGTGACTATCGTTACCAATCGTTGGAGATTCTGTATGACATGGCTCAGAACTGATCACAATGGCGTAGGTGTGTACACTCTCTGTCTTCCCTTAAGCTATGAGATTAAAATTTATTAACATAAGTCTCTCTTCTTGTACTATATCCTTATATAAAATCTTTCTTTTATATATTACCACCACTAAATTAACTAATTCCATGAATCCGGTGTTCATCTTGTTGTGTTTACGAGGTATAGCAACTTGGACTGATGCATAAAAGTGCCTGGTCCTACGTTTTTAGCTGACTGAATTGGTAATCACTCATTATTTATCGTCAGGACCTATCAAGAATTAACAAACGGAAACTTGTTGAAATACTTCATGCTGAGAATTGCATATTGTACAAAAAAATATAATACTGAATAAAACTAATACTAAATAGATGAATTTTTAAAAAAAAAAGTAAATTACAGTATTTTAATGTAAAATACATGTGAGCAAAAACAAGAATTTAGGGGGGGGGTTAAAGTAAATATTTAAAGAATATTTGATTTAGAAAAGGATTTGTGGAGATTTCAGTATTTTTCAAAGTTGAAATTATCAGTCAATTAAAGCTAGACCACCATCGAAAACCTGAAAGCACTGGACGGCCGTTTCGTCCTATTATATGACTCGTCAGTAGTGCGCATCCACGAACCCACTCTCGCGGGATTCGAACACAGAACCTACCAGTCTCGAGCCGAAGCCCTTAACCGATAGACTACTGAGCTGGCATCCAACGGTGTTATGTCTAACTTCAAATGATCCACGAAGTTGAGCAACCATTTACCAATTGTCTTCAGTGAATTGATATCTCACAACAAAACGGGTTGAACTCCACTGGTCACTGCTTCCCACTAGAACTCCAGGACATGTATCTTGAAGTCAGTCACTAGTGAGCACATGATTATATTTAGAAGGGGATTTGTGGAGATTTCATAATAGGACGAAACGACCGTCCAGTGCTTTCTGATTTTCGATGGTGGTCTAGCTTCAATTGATTCATGATTTCAACTTCGGAATATTTGATTATCATAAATTAAATATAAAATATTTATGAAATCTTATTGCATTTTACCGCTAAACAAATCAGACTAAACAGCTGTAGGGTTTTTCTCGTATAGTAATTTCAATCCAGATAGATTAAAAAAAGCGGGAATCTACTTCTCCCATTTTTTACCTGAAAATGAAATGATTGAATTTCCTTTTATCGAAAAAATAAAAAAAAAGATATATTACATGTATAAACTGTTAAATTACACTAAAATAGACATGATTACATAAGAGGGTAAAAAAAAACCGGTCCAGTAGTCTAGAAGTTAAGTGTTCGCGCGAGAGATCCAAGGTCCTAGGTTTGCATCATAAATGAGGGATCGTGGATGCGCACTCCTGAGGAGTCACACAATAGGATGAGTTGGACGTTCAGTGTTTTCAGGTTTTCCATGGTGGTCTAGCTTCAATTAATTCATGATCGCAACTATATAAAATTAATCAAATCTCCACAAAATCAGCTAATTAATTCTGATTTTATATAAGTTGATGGTAATATCTCTACAAAATCAATTATAAGTGTATATGCTATATCCTTTTTTTACAGAAAAAAATTATATTGATTGTATTAAAATTGAAGGATTGTTTCAATTCACTGAATTATCAATATAATATCAGTAGTGCAAATATGTGAACCTGAAAAATGTTATTTCTCAAAGGACTATTTATGATAATGATGATAAGATGTAATGGTTTACTTGGTATTTTATACATATATAATATAAAATCGTGGATGAGTACTGCTGAAGAGTCTTACAATAGACGAAACGGTCATTCAATGGTTCCACATTTTCCATAGTGAACTAGCTTTAATTGAATCATGATTTCAACTATATAAAAATTAATAAAATCTTCACAAAATCCCGTTTTCTGGTTTAAATTATTTGTTTGAATTATTACATTTTATTATTTCTCATAGTTTTAAAGCATGAGTCAATTGAAGCTAGACCACCATGGAAAACCTGGAAACACTGGACGGCCGTTTCGTCCTATTATGGGACTCCTCAGCAGTGCGCATCCACGAATCCGCTCGCGCGAGATTCGAACCCTCTCTGATAATTTTATTATTTATCATTGGATTTCTGAACCCATCAGTTATAAATTTTTCAATGCATTAAACCGCAATGAAGTAAGTTAATTTTCATATTCCACTGACTGAACTAAGTTATCGTATTGGATTTGAACTATGAATAGAGTTTCAAACGATGATTCATTATAACTCATTATTTATATAGTTAATTATTAATTGAGTTTATAATATTCATTCAAAATCCAATCATTATTTCTTACATCAATTTCCTTAAAAGATTTTACTAAATTCTTAATATCTTCTAGCTAACATATTCCTACTCACTGCCTTCTCGTGGCGGGGGTGTTGTTTACGAAAGTGAGAGGACGAAAAGCCAATGTCCGGTGCTTTAACCGGGTTGGTGGACACTGAGGGTCCACCTAGGGGAGTTGAAAAACCCTGATTTCAAACCAATGGTGCACATGGGTTGGCTTCAGTATTCTGAGGGAACAAATGGCGTACGAATCAACCGTTGATCATCGGCTACCACGATGCTCCACTGCCTTGTGTATCAGACATTCAGGTCAAAGGCTCCAGGTGTGGCCCACTAAGAAAACCACCTGCTTCAATCTGAGCACCTGAGCAGTATCACAGCCCTCACACAAATCGAATGAGATTTGTGAGGCGCATATTTATCTGGTGCTTTTTGTACCAATATTTATGTGTTTAAATAAATAAAATTAAAACATATTCTTCTCCAACTGTAGTTCCATTATATTTTAGTGAATGAGAATGATATTGAAAACATAAAACTATAGAATATCTTAGTAAGATTGAAAAAAAAAATAAACCCATAAACTAAAATACTTCATTTGAAAAACATCACTTAGACGTCTTAGAATTCATTATTCATTTGTTTTTACATCAATCATTCTTTGTACTTGTTCTCTTTTCTTTCATCTTAACTTTCTACTATTAAACATTTGAATTTCGATTAATGATACATACTATTTATATCAATCAATTTCAGTAGATATATACCATAATATTGGATCACTGGAGGAATGAGATACAGTCACTTTTATTTAGGTGAAAAATCAAAGAAATTATATGGTATATACTAATGTAAAACTTAATTTATAGAACTATTCAGTTATTTTGAACAAAAATTTTAATTTCTTTAATTTATCATCTTTTTATTTATTTATTTAAACATATAAATATTGGTACAATGAAGCACCAGATGAATATGCGCCTCACAAATCTCATTTGATTTGTGTGAGGGCTGTGATACTGCTCAGGTGCTCAGATTGAAGCAGGTGGTTTTCTTAGTGGGCCACACCCGGAGACTTTGACCTGAATGTCTGATCCACAAGGCAGTGGAGCATCGTGAGGAGATGCAGTGCTAAAAACAATGAATAAACGACTATTAAGAAAATTACATGAATTGTTTTATGACCTTTAAAAACCACATAGGTCTAGTAAATATCTCATTCAATTTAATCTAATATCCTGAGTTATATTATAGTGAACAAGAAGACGAATAGGGACAATTGAATGTATTGAGTATGTAATCTCACCAAAATCTGATAACCATACAGTAAACAGTTAATTTACAAACTATCAATCAATTGTCTACATTTTGATCATTCCTTCTGCATATATCAGTCCATAGTCTCCGATTATTATTGTTCATACATTTTCATACTAATTGCGTTTCATTTCCATTCTTCCGTTATCAATCTTCTAATGAAATACACTCTATGCCTCATTATCACCATATACTACTTATGCGGATTTAAGTAATCCACATCACAATATGAATTCACAAACCGTCGTCAGGTCAAAAAATAACTTCAGGACTGTTGAAATGTGAAAGTTAATATTCCCTAATCTCATTTACTTTGTGATATTATGTAATAGGATGTTAATGATATCCTACTTTCAACTAGAAAGAACTCTTTTATTTCTCAATTAATGAAGTCGAACTTGGAATTGAACATTCTAATGACTAGGATGTCCTATTGGTACATAATATTACATGTTTCATTTTTAAAACTTACCCTTAATAATTTCAGAGTATGAATATTTGCCTAATCAGAAATCGATTCGTTTTTTATCATATTGTCTACAATTTACACATATATTCAGTTTGATTATTAATGTGTTACACTAACATTGCTTGAAGTCACTAACTTCTTGTCTGAGCCATGTTGGTAGATGCAAACTACTTGTTTAGGGTTCCCGTAACTATCGTAACCAGTAGTTAGAGACTATGGGTGACATGGCTCAGGATTGATCACAATGGACTAGGTGTAAACACTCTTTGTCTTCCCTTTAACAGTAACATTAAAATTGTTTCATATCTTTCTTTCTTCCTATACTATATCCTTATATACAACTTATCTTTTATATACCACCACAACAAAATTAACTACTTCTATGAATCCGGTGATCATCTTGTTGTGCTATTGAGGTTATGACATTTTGCACCGCTGCATATACGCGCCTGGTCCTACGTTATAGCCGACTAACTGACTGACTGATACTAACATGCCATTACCCTAAACTTACTACATGACGCTACACAGAAAAGACAAAATGATTGAATGGAAATATAGCATTGTTTTTTTTTCTTTTCTGATTGTATTCATATATACAACACAGAATAAAATAAATCGAAAATATACACAATCCTATCATGAATTACATACATTAAACTATATTTTGATTCCAATTATCTGTAGGCTTTTCATTACAATAAATACATTTCATATCATTACTTTATACAATATGACCCGTTGTTGTAGTCTCTATAATTGGTTTCATTAATTTAGGATCATTTACAATATCACATGTTCTTATAATATGTAGGAAGACTGGTGAATCTGAATTATGTCGATCATGTTCATATTGACCATCATGATGATGATCATGATCAAGATGATGATGATGAGGAGGAGGAGGAGGATCATGATCTTGATATTGATGATTACATGAAGTATAAGGATAATAATTTAATAATGAATCCGAAATATTAACAGAATAATTATTACATTTTATACAATAATCTTGAGGTAAATGGATTTGTACAGGTTGTTGACATTGGGTTTGAGTTAAATTGATATCCGTTTTCAATGTATCTGTATTATTATTATTATTACTATTACGTAATAATGGATCATTTTGACTCTTTTCTAATTCCATATCATATGATTTCATTTCATTTTGTTTATATTTTGGATTACGCTTGACTTCAATTTGATTATGTACTATGAATATAACAAAATAAGAATAAAGCATGAAACTGTATAATAAACTACTTGATAATTTGAAAGAAAATTCAATTCAAAGTAATTAGAATACATGAAATAGGCTTTAAATTGTATAAAGATTTGGATAAAGTATTAGTTGATATGGCTGGTATACGTGTTACGTATCTCCAACCACCAACTGCCCCGACGTGCAATGTTTCATGGTGTAGTAGTAAGTTGGAAGAAAGCTAGGGGCGACTAGATCAAAATGTGGCACAAATCCATGAAGTCACTGACAATTGGACTGAGTCATGATTGTAGGTGTAGACTACCTGTTTGAGATTCGCGAGATAATAGCAATCGATGGTTAGAGACCTTGAATGACATGGCTCAAAATCGTTTGCAATGGTGAAGGTGCATCCACTCTTTGTGTTCTGCCGAATCCTAATCTTCTGAATTCTTCATGTCAGTATCTTTTCTTTCTTTCTGAATTTATTTCACTGGATTATACTCCTTCAATAACATCTTCAAACCCTAATCTTTCCGATTAATGCTTATACTCTTACTACTTCTACCATTATGTGATTTGAATCGACAACTGCATCTCTGTGTTAATGTGGTATGGTAACTCGACCTGGTTTACGTACGTACGAAGTTCTACGTTGTGATTGACTGACAGGTGTGGTACGTGCTACTTATATTGATATAAGTAGTATATTACAGTAAACAAGAATAGAATGTCTGATAGCAGAAGATTAAGAAGATCAAAGTAAAAAGAGAATGAGAATAAAGAATGATTAGTATGGATGTGAAAGAATAATGAAGTCTGATACAATTGACTGATATTTGTAAAAGGAACAATCAAATGTGAGACAGTTGATTGATATTTTACAAATGAAGCATTTACTGTGTGGATCTTAGATTTTACTAAGACGTCCTATCATCTAATGAAACTTTTAAAGTGAATGGATATTGTATGACAAAATGAAGTAAAAATTTTCTTTTGGGAAAATGATTAACAATTAGTAGATTTTATATCGATTGAATGCGTACGTTCGTGCCCAGTTGATATATATGACGTTATAAGACCGCCTATCAGGGAGCAGTGAAATTATTGATCGCCTGATGATATACAAAATCGCTATGAGCAGTCTTAAGCACTACTTGGTCCTGCTATCTGCCTATCCCAGCCAGTTAAGTCCAGAACACAAATAACAGCCTCTGCAATATGAATCATTATTCTCAAACATACTGGGTTTATATACTAACAAAAAACAGATCATATCGTACCATAAAATAGAAAATAACATTTGTACAAGATTTCATTAAATGTGGCTGTGAATAGGAGGGGGACAGCAATTAATGGACTGGGGATAACTCAAGAATGGTAAATCGTACTGTAATAGTCTATCGTTCAAAATAAAACTCATAAGAAAAGGTACATAAATATAGACAATTTAGGTACTTAACAATTATACAATAAGAAATATACGTATCATATTGGTTCATAAACAGTCCTGAAAAGTTACCATTCATAATTCTCTTCGGGACATAACAACTACTGAAACCTATTAGTAGTATGAATGCAACAATGAGTTGTAGATATCTCCATTTGACAAGTGTCAAATAGAATGAAACACTTCTACAAGATTCCATAAATGTAACAAAGCTTCTAACCCTAGATCTTATTAACGCATCAATTTAGGAAATATACATATCCCATTGGTTCATAAATAGTCCTCAAAGTTACCATTCATAAATCTTCACGGGATACAACAGTAGGTATAAATGAAATTAAAATAGCTTACTCTAAGTTAAGTCGAATTCAAATCCAATTTGTGAATTCTCATTAGCCGCTTACAATCTAGAGGTATAGTAATGGTTATTTGTAACTAATGTATATAGTTTATATCCTATGAGTAAGTTTATTAATTTAAATATAAAATAAGATATTACGTAATTGAATGATAAAAAATAATAGAAGTTGCCAATGTAATGAAAGATTTGCAAGTGTTTTCTATTGCATTTCAACTCTTTAATCGAAACGGAATCGGTGTAATTTAGTAAGCCTGAAGTTGTTCGAGTACTGATTATGAAGAATGATTTTAAAATATCTACATCGTGCCTACTATTTTGACGATGAAGAGCAATAGCGCTGTTGAAAATATGTTAACTTTTAATCTCAATTTTAGAATAATTTGTTATGAAATGTGATCAGAAACCCTACTTTCTGTCATTTTAACGTAAATAGTTTGACACAGACTTGAAAACTAGTAAACAGGAATTATCTTCTGAGTTACTTGTTAGGAAGATGCTATTCATGAAAATGAAATTGACTTTAAGAATATCTGAACAAATAAGGACCTCAAAATCTGTTCCTCAAATAGAAAACATCTTGAATTGGATTCCTTCAGTATATTTTTCACAATGCGAATTCAATGACAAGCTTAGCTTAGGATTCATTCCTAAGATCCAATGTATTCGGCTTCTGTTCAAGAGTTTAATTTGAGAATTTTTCCTTATATCAAAATGGATTTATTATATTGCTACATTTGTAGACATTACTTTAATCGATTCCCTTCGCCTACATGTTCAAGTCAGTCATATTAAAATGCCACAGATAGATGAAATGTGAACGTGTGTGGAAAATATAGAAGAGTAAATCGGTTACAACAATAATTATTTGACGCCATTTCAATAAAACATAAAATATAGTGATATGTTTCATTTAAGAGTACAACAAAAATTTCATCGAACACATCAAAATTTGCAAGCGAAGATGAATAGTGGCTTGTAGTGGAATCCAGGACGCGCACTTCGTCCCATTTGGGACTCATCAGCTGGATGTACTTACACCTCAGAGTTGATGTTCACTCTGAGACTCGAACCCAGTACTGTTCGCTTCTAACGTCATCGCGTTATCCACTCGGCCACTGAGTCCCGATAGCTACTTGTTTGTGCGATGGAGTGAAGTTTAAATTCATTTAGTATTGTTTGTTTAAATTTTCCCATTGATGTTTAAGACTGCAACTGATCAGTCTCTTATTGGCATATGCGCATACTGTGCGTATTGCCTCGATATAGCCTTAATTCACAAACATTGTAAGCAAACGTGGCTATCCGGACTCAGTAGCTGAGTGGATAACAGGATGGCGTACTGGGTTCGAGTCTCAGAGTGAACATCAACTCTGAGATGCAGGTACATCCAGCTGACGAGTCCCAAATATGACAAAACGCGCGTCAAACCGGATTCCACTGCTAGCCAATATCCATCTTTGATTACAATGCTTGTGAATTTAGACTATATCGAGGCGATACGTGCAGTATGCACATATGCCTATTACAGACTGACCAGTTGCAGTCCTAACACATCGATGAGAAGACTTGAACAGACAATACTAAATAAACAACAGAATTTATTTTTCATTAGCTGTTTATGATAAACACAATGCATACTATTGGTCAAGAATTTAAACTTTCAAATATCTCTAGGCGGATCTTACGTGTTTATCAGCCCCGTTTAAGAGACGGGAGTTCGCGTTTCACTTTTGACACCGCGTATAGCACTAACATTCCTTAAGCCTTCAAAATTATTAGCAGACAAAAAGCGCATCGTTTCTTTGGTTCGTTGAAGCAATAGCAATACAAAAAACTCAGGCTTGATTTATGCACCCAGAACGTGACAATAAACTAATTACTATCTTAGTAACCTATTTTTGTCATTATTTTATTAGTGTTAATTTTGTTACGCGGTCTTTCCTTAACTAATTATTATTTCATGTACATCAAAAGCGTCCCTTCTTTCATACGTTTCGTTCAATTAATTCTCTTAACTTATGCAAACTCTTCAAATCCTGTTCAATCCCCCTTATCAATTTTTAATTTCAGTAATCCCAGTATGTAAACCCTTCATAACCTCTATAATTATCATACAATCTAACTTGACCGTCTGCAAACCACATTTAGTGATTGCGTCAACCACCCGGCATGCTACCGAATAATATATATAATTCTTATTGATAACCTTTTTCATTCTAATTCTTTTCGTTCATCTATGTCAATTATTTTACACCACATCTTACCTCAATGCTAATTTCCAATACATTATTGGCTGTAAGCAGCTAACGAGAAACCACGATATATATTGAATTCATATTATTCTATTTCAACTGTTGTTCTGACTTTATTCAAATTCATAAAGCGTTCCCACTTGTATGAAATTTCTGAAGAATCATTTCTCTCAAGATCACAATTACATCCCTTTGATCTGTGTTAAATAACCTGAAATCTATGTAAAGTAGTGTTTACAGTTCACTAGCAAAAATAGTAACTGAGCGAGAAATCTTAGATGATCGCTACTTGTTTTTAAATAACTAAGATGATATAGAATATATTTACGTAGTGTAATCTATCTAAGCAATATAAATCAGTAGTCAATTAAACAAATTATACTAAAAGCTATTGGTTACTGACTAGATTTTGTCAGACAACTAGTGAAAAACGAGAACTGGATATGTTTCATTTCGAAACATACCACTTATTTTTCTTAGGATATGGAATAGTCAAAATTATTTATGTACTTCATTTATTGACGTTCATTAGTCATCAGTGTAAGGCGATAGTTGAAATTAATTGTTTGGAAATCCTGGACTTTAGTTTCGTGCAGTTTTGCACTCATCAAGTACAGCTATACCTACTTTAAGTGTCCCAAATAATGAAAAACTTAGGTTTTGGGGTTGCTTGTCAACTACCTCTAATCTTCACCTTACGTCAATATAGTGCACAAAGGTCATCATGTTGCATAGATTAGTAGCCGCATTGCATCTTGACCGATGAAATTCGATTAACATTAAGAAGGACTAGAAATATATAACAATTTTTCCCATTCAGTGATCAATCAATCGTAAGCTAGTTATCGGTTTATAGTAACAGACTTTTACCGAGTTTTTACCTTTAAGCAATAGTATAGGTGTTTTTTTTTCAAAAAAACAATTGATACTTATATAAAGTAACGAGAT